GCCAGGTTTGACTGAGTGACCTATAAAAAGAGTTAGCATGAAGCTGTTGAGTAAATCTTAGTGTTTGCTGTAAACAAACCTCACTGAAGTGCTTGTAATTGCTTTGTTAGAAGGCTACACAGGCCTATGTGGTCCAGTGGGTGAAGTGAAAAGGGAAGGAGTGTTTCCTTTTATCTTTACTTCCAAACAGCTGGAGACAGATAAGAGCGGAGCCACTTTTGGCTTTTGCAAAGGGTTTGACTGTGTGATCTCCATTGTCTCTTGATGCTTTCAGTTTTTAAGCTATCCAGTTATATTTTAATGTTTGGGTAAAACTATATGTTCAAAACCACCCAATGCTTTTTTTTTTTTTTAAGGTATATAAAAAACTGAAATTCTGCTTTCAGTCTGCACTGGAAAGAAAGCAAGCCTCACTATTTTGTAGTAGCTAATTGTTAGAAAACTTCAAGGGGCACTGTCACAAAAAGCAGGAAAATGAATTTCTGAATTTAGTTATCGCTTGAAGGATATGCCTTGCCTAACCTAGCAGATATATCATCTCTTGCAGAGCTCACCTTGATTTTTCCAGAGCCCTAGACTATAATGGCAAGAGACGGATGGGGATAGGCTTTTTTATGCTGCTTTTTATCGTGTTTCCATGTTTTTTTATTTTTTCCAGGAAGATGGGATACATTTTCAAAACTTTTGAATGTAGAGAAAGCTAGTGCTTTTCACTGATGTTAATTAGAATCAATCATGTAGCTAAATTCTCAGTGCAAAGATCTGAAAATGTACCTATTTTTACTCAGCTAGTTTGCAATGTTGTTTTGGTACAGCAGGGAAATACTGCTTTGCTAGAAGTTTCAATTGCTCTAATTTTTTCAAGTCCCAGTGACCCAATAATGTGCAGATCCATCAGGGGTAGCGTGCAGTGACTTATGGCTTGTCCATAGGGAGAGATGTTCTGAAGTAGCTCTTTTTGAACAAATCCCTTTGTAAAATGCTAATTCCTGATTTATTCCTGAGTAAAAGCATTCTGTTTTAAACACACTGCCTCAATCTGGACCCAGACATTTCCTTTTCCAGGTTAGGGGTTTTTACAGGAAGGGGCAAAGGGTCAGTTGACCTTGGCTGGCCACTCCAGTTGCAGGGAGAGGGCCAGCTTGGTCCTCATGGGGAATACATGGGGAGTCCTGCAGGCTGGCATGACAGGGAGCCAAGGGATGTATCTGGCCTGTGGGCTATGGGTTGAGCACCCTGATCTAGGTTTATACCTTAAGCTTTACCTTTCAGTTCTTGTAGCTGTTTTCTTAATGTACATTTTATTCTCAGGCTTATGTGTATAAATGTTGCTAAGAATACTTTAAAGAAATTGATAGAAACAACAGATTTGTTCTCTGTGTGTATATTCAACAAATAACTATTTCTTGGTTTGATGCATCTTTATGGGAAGTTGAGGAATCACTTCTGTGTCTGTGTCTGTGTCTCTCTGTAACAGGGAACACTTGTTGTGTTACTGGAAAGTGGTGTGGCCCCTTTGGCAGGGTTTTGTATCACAGATACAAGCAACCAGCAGAGCAGGGGTTAAGGATAGAGTTATCATACATCCGGTTTTCCTGGACATGTTCTCTTTTTGGGTCCTGCCATCTCCGTTTGGGTGGTGTTTTAAAATATCAACAAATGTCTGGGATTTGGGATTTTGCCCTGCTCAGCACTGAAGTTTTTTCCCAGCACTGGGCTGCAACAGGGCAGGGGGGGCACCTGCCTCCAGTTGGGGAAGGGAGTGGGGCTGGGGCAGCAGGGAGCTGCGTGGCTGCGCTGCACCAGCTGGAGATGCTTGCAGGGATGGGGGGGAGAGCAGGGCACTGCAGGTCAGGAGTGAGGGGAACTGGCCGGGCTGGGGAGGCTGTGGATTGGGAGTGAGGGGCCATAGGGTGGGGCAGGGGACTGTGGGTTGGGAGTGCATCACCAGTGCTGTGGTTTGGGAGTGAGGGGCACCAGCATGGTCTAGGGGGTGGGTTACTGTGGGCCAGGACTGAGGGGCAACAGCAGGGCTGGGGGGGCTGTGGCTTGGTGTGAGGGGCAGGGCACGGGCATATCACTACTCCCCCCCACTTTCCCTCGGACAGGCGTCTTCTTTTTTGAAACTGGAATATGGTAACCCTAGTTAAGAAACAGCCCTGTGGTGAATCAGCTGACATGAGAGGCACGTGACCAGAAAGGGGCAGGGTTTTAGTAGTATATAAACCAGAGCTAGAGTCAGAGCAGGGTGTTAGACCTGGGAAGCAGCAGGGTGAAGGAGCCTTGTGGGACGTTGGCTGCTAGGCAGGGAGCTGTGGGTATGCGACTGAAGGGACCTGATTCAGGGTCAGGCAGAAGTGTGGAAGTTAGCTGGGGGACTGGGGGGTTGTGTTGCTTCAAAAAACTTAAGTCTGTGTTTGGGTTTTAACTGGTGTTTTGGTTGGAACTAGAAAGGAGTGGCTTGGAGGTCCCATTAGTGCCTGAGGAGCATGTAAGTGCCTTGAGCTCTGCCAGGGGTCAGGCTCAAGGCATAGACAGAGGTCAGGGGAGCCCAGAGCCTGAGAGAGGGCAGAGCTTGGGGATCAGAGGACCTGGAGCCCAAGAAGGGCAGGGACAGCTCAGAGAGGGGCAGAGCTTTGGGACCAGAGGGCCTACAGCCTGAGAAGGGCAGAGATAAAGTCCCTGGAGGGCAAGACATGGGACTGGAGCCCAGAAGCCAGGTCTAGAACAGTGGGCCTTGGCTAAGGGACCAGCTAAAGGAAATGGGTGGAAGCTGGGAAGACTGGAGCCCTAACAAGGGAGTAAAGGCCTGAGGTAGCCTGGTGGCTATGGAGATTAGTGTTCTACTGGATGTGATGTTGAATAACATCAGCAAGGCATGGGTGTGACTACTGGGGTGGCTGGAGGTCTTGACTTAAGCCCTTAAAGCAAGCCAGGTCGGGAGAGTCCACCACTGGAGAAAAGAGAACACCTTAGCATTAGTCTCTGAGGGCAGCCTCCCTTTCATTAAGTTTCTATCAAAGTATGGCAGGTGGGAAAATGAGGTGAGACCCTGAGAGAGAGAGCCTAGCAGGGATGAGGCAACCTGTAGGAGGCATCACAATGGCCCTTGGGTGCCTATCCTGTTACATGGAGACAGAAGAATTTATTTCTCTTTTCCAGTGAGATATTGGGGAAAGGAAGGAAGTTTCTCATGTTATATGAAAGGATAATTTAATAAATACTTGGATTAACTGATTAATCTAAATACACATTAAGGTAAACTCTGTAATTCTCTAGACAGAAGATCATTTGTCCTAACCCATAACTTGGTGACACGTTCTTCTCTGTAGCAACCAGGTTGTTGTCATATTGTACATGAACCAGGCTGTTGCTCTGGTTCATATCATCAAATGAGCATAATCAAGTTGCTCCACAGAAACATTTTAAATGTTTATGTACTTTCCACCCTGGGATTGTAATATCCTTATTTATGTATGATAAACTTCTAATTCCACACTATGCATACATCCTCAAAGCTCTTTTACAGGGCATATGAATCCTTTAGGCACATACCTGCAGACACTTTAGGAGGGGATGAGCCAGAGAATCTGCTGCCTTATATTTCTTCGTATACTGCCTTATGCATCTTACAGGCCATTGCCCAATGCTGTGAAGCTTATTTCCTATTTTAGGCTTAGCTTTTTTTTTCTTGGAGGGTGCATCTATATGTGCATATTAATGCGATGCAATAAATTCCAGTGCTTATTGCACCAGAGTTTATTGCTCCAGGCATATCATTTGCACATGTGCGTGGGATCGCAGCACATTGAGCTGGGTCAAAGCTGCTTGAGCTGGCAGGGAGCCTGAAGCGGGGGGTCAGCCTGCCAGCCTGGGACTACTCCGCCCTGGCTTAATGTGCTGTGTAGGGGCTGGCTTGGGCACAAGGGTGCTTCAGTGTAGGGCTAGCTGGCAGACAGCACCTGCAATTAAGCACCCTTGTGCCCCAGCCAAGTAGGGCAGCATTTACATGTGCACTGCTGTAGAGTTTTTTGGAATAAATGAGTTTACTCCCGCCTAATAAGGACGTTCATGTAGATGCGTGACATTTACTGTGCAGCTAATTAGTCTACTGCGCAATAAATGTCTCCTGTGGAGGCACCCAGAAAGGACTACATTATTGCTCTTATTTCCTCATTCAGGGAGATAACACCCACCTCCCCTCCCCACAATACAGCTTATCCTTGTTTTGGCTTCAGGTAGGTAGAAAAGTTTGGGCCCTCCTGGTGGTGAGCTGAGAGTAAGTCGGGGATGAACAGAGCACAGCATTTGCCTGGGCAGCATATGGTTACTGGAAAATTAATTTGCATATTAATCAAGGGAGGCAGCATGTTGTTTACCTCTGGAGTCAGGATAAGAATTGTAATTACATACAGGAGACTGCAGCTAAAGGCACAATCAGGTCCTACATTATCAGGGAGGGAAGGGGGTGGGGGGCAACACCTTCCTAGAGAGCTGCTCAGAATGACCCCTAGGATCAAGGAACAGCTACAGGGAATTCCCCTTACCAGCTTTTTACTGTTCATTTACAAGGTATTGAAGTGTGGTTTGACTAAACAAATAAAATAAAGGTCTCCTATCTAATAAGTTTCGCTTTATTTTAAAAAATATTATTTTTCAATAATACAAAATAAGTAATAGTTATAACTTAATATTTAAGGCATAGAACATCTGGTTTTTTTTCTTCCATTGGAAGAATCCATATTTTAAGAGCAGAGAACTGTTAAAATCAGGTCCTAACAGAAATAATAATTTTAATAATAAATACTTAGCATTCAACCATCTAGTGCCTTTTTATAATCTAAGCACTTAACTAGCATTAACCATATATATTAACATGCCCCTGTCAGGTATACGTAAATAGATACATCTTCTAAACTACACATTAGAAAAATTGAACTATGATTCCAAGTGTGAAAGTGTTGCAGCCCACAAATAAGATCTTTTTTGTATAGACACTCTCATAAATACTTGCTGCAGAAGAAGAATAGGGTGACAAGAGAGAATGCTGTTTGTTTTAATCTTGAGCCACTGGAATGTAACCTAGGAAATTCCTCCTCCTCTTCCTCTTTTACATCTGAGAAAAAATAATAATAATAGTAATAAAAAAGTGAATGGAAGTGAAATGCAAAGGATTTCTACAGACTTTGAAATTCCTTCCCCTTTCTCTTCCCGGCCCCCCCAAAATAATCTTTTCAGGTACTTAGGTTAAAGCTATCAGCTGTGAAAGCCAATCAAAGAGTCTATTCTCAGAGGAGAGATGTGAATGGATGCCATCAATGATCGTTTGAGAAGCAACTGATAGCACTTATCAGCTCTTGCAAGCATCAATCTCAGAATAATCAAATGTAAATACCTACCAAAGGAAAGGATGTTAGCAAGTGACATACTCTCAGTCTTCAAGCAAGCTTTTAACCCTTTCTTCAAGGGAAAAGATTACTTTTTTGGCCATTAGCACAAGCAGAAAAGATTACCTTCATGCAACCTTTTAACAAAAGATTCTCCACTCTGTTGCATCAGTTTTTTATTGATGTTACCCCAGTTGATGTCAAATTGGTCTAAAAGAGTAGAGGGTCAAGCCTTATGTCTCACTGTTGCAGGACCAGACATAACAGGATTGTGAAATCAGGGAACTCACTTTGCAAAAAAAAAGTTTTTGCACAGAACAATTTAAGTTGTTGTTGAATGTAATTAGTTAATGGAGAAGCATGCAAGATAAAGACATTTAAGGTAATATGTGCTCCTATTTTTCTAGCCACCTGGTATTCCCTGCAGTGCACATCATTTGTCCTTTGTTCCTGGGATGGTAGGATATTCCCTGGTGGGATTAAGAAACTCTGGTTGCAGATTTATTTTTCAGAGTTCACATTTTATTCCAAGTAAAGTTATTTATTCCAAGCAAGTGTCATAGCTTTTCTATGCATCTTTTCAGGTAGTCTCTTTCCCACCCAGCAAATTCCAATCTGTTCCTCTCCCAAACCCTTCAAAGGGACTTCGCTGAAGTGTGGGTCTCTGAAGATTTGCTTCTCAGGCATGTGTGTGCGTACACATGTGTGTGTGCATGAATACAAATTCCAATCTGTATCTGTTCCTCTCCCAGACTCCTTTAAGGGACTTTTTTGCTAAAGCGTGGGTCTCTGAACATTTTAAACATTAGGCAGAAAGCAAGGCAGTGTATAGATTACCTTGTTTAAAGACTGTCCTGCCTTCTGCTTAGCTTCAGACTAAAGCAGTTAGCTACTGGTCTCTGTTCATTTTAAAATGTTTACATGTGCATTTGCTTATTTGGCCATCATTTTGCAGCTAGTTTTTCAGAACTACCATTGACGTTAGTGGTTGTTCTACATATGGACTAACTATGAGTAATTCAGTCCTAAGACATTCTTTTTCTACATTGTTTTCACAAAGAAAAATACCTTGAATTTTTACATGGGTCTTCAGCAGTAGATCTCCAAAAAGTGATTTAAAAAAGTAGTTTTTTTTCTTGTAATTTGTTGTAATCTGAGATTATTAAAATGTATGGTTTAATACCACACTAGATTAGTCTCGGCCTTCAAAACTTTACAAGTTTAGAGAACAGTCCAGACAGATTTGCTTCAGGAGAGAGGTTCTGATTTTTGCAGCTTGCTCTCAGGATGACTTTTTTTTCCTCCTTAAAAAGCCTGAATTCCTGGTGTGTCAGGTTTCACCTGTATAACATGGGAATGCTAATACATCCGTACAGCACCAGGCTGAGGAAAATTATTAATATTTTCAAAATGTAGTGATATCTTATGATCAAAAGCTTGTGGTAAGAGCAAACGTTTTATTTTTATATTTGTTAACAGATTTCAGTAAGACCCAGCAAATTCTTAAGCATATGTGTAATTACTCATGTGAGTTGTCCTCTTGTTTTAAAAGAATAGAATTGCATGCCTGTGCACAACTATTGCAAGACAGGATAAATCATTTGACCTCTTTAATTTGTCATTTGAAATATGGGAAATAATTCTCTACTGCAAGTGTCCTGTGTGATTCATTATTATTTCTAAAGTGCTTTGAGATTTTTGGGTGAAGAAGTTCAAAATTATAATTACTGTGAAATTAAATGTGTTCTTGGTCACTGAGCAGGCTTTAGGTAGAACACTGAAACTTCAGTGCTCTATATAAAACTTTTATATAAAACTGAAACTTCAGAAAACAACTTTGTCAGGCAGATCATTAAAAAAGCACCATTAATCTCCATGGATTTGATAAGTTTTTCCTTACCACAGTTGTCTTGCATTCTTCCTGAAAGGCAGTGTAGCATGCCATACCCACATCGACAGAATCGACAACCCTTGATTATCCAGGCTCCGTGGGCAACAGGGCCACAGTTGCTGTTAATGATAAGGGAGAATTTTTTCCATTTCCTTGCCCATCAACAATGTTAAAACTGGAAGATTTCTGATTTCAGCTTTTTCTTACCGTTTCCGTTCATCATGCTCACAGTATCTGCCAGTAAAATGTTTTAGACATGCACAGAAACTGCCTAGGATACAGGTCCCTCCATTTTGACAACAGTGCCTGTTCAGCTTTTTACCTAAAAGACAATGATCCACAATTTACTAAGAAATAGAAAGGCTTTAAATCTCCTTTCTTCTCACTTGGTCTCTCAGGTCTCCCTAGCTGCGAAAGGATCTTAAGGATGTCTAGGCTTATTGTCTTTAAGGGCAATAAAATTAGCTGCCTGTTAGTGATGTTTGTTCAGTTAAGCCCAGTTTGTTTAGTTAAGGATTAAAAGCAAACTACCAGGGATTAAAGGATGGCCAAGAAGCAACTCCTGACAAGATCTACAGAAGTAGTACACACGTAACTGAAATATTTCATTTTGACAGAGGCAGGCCTCAGCCTCACTAATAAACCAGGGTTTTTTTCCCCTGGCAGCGTCCTTCTGTTTTTGATCCATCATGCCACAAAAATGAAAGGAACTTCAAGGCGCTGTTTCAAACTGCCTAGGTTACAATCTCTAACCTGAAATGTTGTGATGAAGTAAAAATCTGCCATTGTTTCTGAATGTTATAGTTTGCTTCCAGACTGTAACTCTTAAGATAAAATGAAGGCAGGGTAGAGGTGGACTTAATAAACTAACTGATCCAGAGTTACACAAACTTTATCTAAGCTCGCTTTGTCAGCTGCTTAGATAAAAATGAAAATTTTAGTTGATTTTAACCATCAAACCCAACATCATGTTTCACAAAGTCTGAATGAGACCAGTATACACCTCATTTGTAACCCCAGCATCTGCTTCTATTTTCTGTTATCCTAGATAGGGGTTTTGTAGATTAAAGATATGTGATTTAACTTTGATTTATTTATGTCTACTTTATCAGTAGGTGTGGAAAAGGACTTTAAAATGACCCATTTTAAACTAGCAGAAATCTCTTCTAAACTTCCAGCCTAGCTAGTGCTCAGGCTCTGGAAGAGAGTTTGCGACTTTTTTTTGTGAATACATGTTTATGAAGGCAGGTTGTAAATGCATAATGCAGCAATATTCTAGCATGGCATAAATAAATAATGTTACCTACTGTCTGTAATCCCAGTGAAAGGCACAAGACTCCTAGAATTCGGTTGCTTCCTGCTCTCATAACTTTGATTCACGTCATTAAGAGCATTTACAATAGTGTCTTGATTTTTTGGCTGCTGCTTTTGAGCTGTGGCATTGACATTTTCTCCAGCATGTTCATACTCTTCTTCTTCACGGCCTTGAAAAGGTAGGGAAAACAGAAGAAGGAGGAAAGGGGAGATTGAAATAAATTAATAGAAATATAAATTTATTAAAAAACCGCCCAGAACAGATTAGAGAAATGAAGCTTTCCTTACCTCTTCCAAAATGAATGACTTGCAAGGCCATAGGCACCATAAAAAGAATTCTACAGAACATCAAAAATATTGTATTAGTTTATGGGAATAAAAACTACAGAAAATTAAAAATAAGATTAATATTATTACTTATAACAATCTATTGTGACAAGAACATTTTAAGCACTATATGAGAGGTACAAATCAAACTATCACACCATGATTCACAAAATAAGCCAGTCTATGAAAAATAATGTGTTTGTATAACTTAAATTTTCATCCAGAATGCCACAGGTAATTCTAAAATGTGACTCTTTTCTGGGTGCTTTCTGTAGATGTTTTGAGTACAACTGATTATTACTGAAGCATCCTATTTCCAAGGGTATTGAAGTCAAGAAACATGCAATAACTTCCACTTGAACTAAGGTTTCAAATTCCTTCTGTTTCACTTTTGACTCCTCTTTAAAATAGTCTGCCTCCATTTTGAAGGGTTAACACAAAATTAAATAAGTTCTTGGATCTGGGAGATAATTGGCAGAACAGAAACCCTTACCTAACATGTCTCCAATACATGTTCCTACAGTCAGAAATGCTTGTGTGATTCTCAGCAGCTTGTTTAGAAGTACAGTTCCAAGGTAGGTTGTTATATGCAGCAGTCTTCAGATCATACACTGGGATTATTGAATCCAGACAAGGAAACAGAGAAGAGAGAGGATGATTGAGGAATTTTTCTTTTTTATCTCCAGACCATAAGAATATAGATGAGACATCATTCCCAGGTCTGCTGCTTGTGGTTCTTCAGTAAGGTACTGACAGCCAATTACCATTTCTTTGAGCCTGAAAGTCAATAGCCCTCCCCTTACCAAGACACAGCTTGCTGTAGGGGTGGAGCAATATCCGACAAGAAGAAGGTTGTTTCTGCTGTAGCTAAACCTTCAGCAGGCATTTCCCTGGTGAAACTCTCCCTTCAGGAAGTAGGAAGCAGGCTTCAGTGTAAAATGATATAAGCTGGTTTCATTTTCTCTGTTTTTCCTCTCCAACAAAGTATCCCTAAGCTTAGTTCAATGTTCAGGCAGACTTGCATCAAAACTCAACATCTGAACTTTGAGGAAGTTTAAAACCTAATTCAATCTGAATTTTGGGTTTTAAGTTTTATTTCTCCACTTCAGAAAGTGCCATTTACGATAGTTAATTTTTTTGCTTGCAATGAACCTCAGGGACTTACAATTAGCCACCTGAATCTGCTCTGTATCTCAGTGAATATCCTGGTTTTCAGGACTGACCTCCCATGGTTCTCATATCTTTGAGCACCCAAGTTTAGAGTGTGTTGGCCTCATTGTAAATGTGTTACCTTCTGAAATGTTTGAGGTACTCGACACCAACACAGGTAAGACTACATGTTAATGGGTTAATGGTGTAGATCAGGGATGTCAAACTCATCTGGTCCCTTGGCCTGAATGAGGGTCTCTGGGCTAGTCTGTGGGCTGGATGGATCCTGGACCTTGCTCTGGGGCTTGCATTGCATATGGCTTGTCAAATTATTATTGCCACTGTGGGGGCAGGTATAGGACACATGCTGCATGTGGTACCCTGCTGGACCATCCCTGTGCACTGGCTGTAGGGCTGGGCTGGTCTAGTAGGGCCTCGTATGCAGCTTACGCCTCAAGCTGGCCCCCTGTGCCATGTGCAGTGCCACTGTTGCTGGGTCCATCCTGTGTACCGTGCATTGCCTCACTCTAGCACAGGTGGCTGGCATGGTGCTGGAATGAGGCTGGCACATGCTGCACACCGCGTGTAGCTTGGACCTGGCATTGAGGGATCTACAGGTAGAACAGGTGGCTAGTGTGGGGCATGAATTGCATGCAGTGCCCTGCTGGATCAGCGCTGTATGCTGGTTCTGGCATAGTCTGATCCAGACCAGTCCTGGAGCATGCAGGGTCAATCTGGCACAGGCACTGCATGCAATACGCACTCTGGACTGCCACCCTGTTTCACAAGGGTGCTCATGAGGCATGTAGGGTCATTCCGAGAACCATTGGCTGAATCATATGGCTCCACAGGCTGGACACAGACCACATGTTTAACACTCTTGATATAGATCATCCATTACAAATCCTATATGCATATGTCACTGATAGAAGACATGTCCTTCTAATGATGGTGTATCCTTTTTATTCTAATATAATAAAGGGCTTAGTGCATCTGCCCCTCTCTATAACACTCTTGGAGTACTCTGATTGGTTACTGAAACAACCAATCGGAGTGCTCCAAGTGCATTACTGACAGGAGGTGGCAGTGCAGCAGAGTGCCACCATGATGGCAGGACAGAGGGGATGGAGCGGGGTGGGCTCGCCTTCCCCCTTCCTCCCCTGCCCTGCTCCCTGGAGGCGGTGCTGATGGAGGGGACAGCAGAGCAGTCTTCCCCCGCTCCACTTCTGGGAGGCGGTGGCAGCATGGGGGGTGAGGTTAGGGTTAGGGCTAGCAAGCTTCCTGCCCCCTCTGTCCCCACCCACTCCCCTCCCCGCCTTCTTGACGGGTAATTTGCTAGTGTAATCTATAAATGTGAAGGTTCCTTATCATGGATTCATGCAGTGGGAGAAATTATACCCTCCTGAAGAAAAAGAGGGAGGAGAGAGACATTTCTGTCTAAACCACATCTTTGGAGATATCACAACCACAAAACACACCCTGATTTGATAGAAGGTGGAGCCAATTCTTTATTTTCTTGAATTTGCAACTTATGAAAAGAAAGTGTCTGCAACATTACAACATTAGCATCACTTAGCATAGGTGCAAGCAGGGAAGAATTGATCCCTTTTTACCCTTACTGAGTTTTGACAAAAGAAATTCTGGTAGCATGCAGCCGCTGCCACCACTGATCTGCTAGAGCATGTACCATATCTATAGGTTTCTGGTGGCTTTGTGTGGTTTAACTGCACTTGTTCTGCCAGCAGAGCCCAAAGTGCCTCCTGGGAAGATACAAGACAATGCTTCCCAACCTCTTCCTCAGCATGACCCCATTTAAACACTGGAAATTTTTTGCAATGCCAAAATGATACAGAGAAGATCAATGCCCCCATAGGAGGCATGGCTAGAGCAGAGCCTGTGGCAGGGGAGGATGTGAGCTGCCCCCTACCCTTTTCACAAATTTGGGGGGCACATGCCCCTCCCCCCCACCCTCCCTTCCTGGGAATGCGTCCAGTGGTAGGGAGCCAGACCTCTGCCATCCCCCCAGCTGGGCCCTGCATTCAGGTGCAAGGCCCCATGCACTGGCCCAGCTGTGCAGCACTCCCAGCGCCAGCCCTTCCCTGCCCCACTCTCTCCCTCTGTCCCTCCATCCCTCCTACTCTGTGGGGGCTTCAATCTGTCTCTCCCCACATTGACTTAGCTGAAGAGAGCTGCTCTCCGCACTGCCTGGCTGCCACATGTATCTGTGTGTACGCCCATGCATGTAGTACCCCCTACCTGATCACCCTTCTCCCACTCACCCCAGCCCCAAGCAGCCCATTGCAGGCTGGAACTCTGCTAGCCTGCAAGGGGGCCTGCCCTTTCCCACTTTTTTCTGTGATTTTCACTGTAATTGGTCAACTGTTGAGTGTCTTTGCAACCCCATTTTTTATTGTTGTGACGCTAAATGGGATCATGAGCCCAAGGTTGGGAACCACTGGCATAAGATATTGAAGGATCCACTAAAATTGTCAAAAGGTGCCTATACATGTCTTCTATCAGCTGCTGGATAGTGTCAAAAGCCTTCTTTCACTCAGGGGAGGTGTAACTGCCACCAGAAGCAAGGGGTTTCCTGCTGCAGAGGAGCTATGGATATAGATGTGCTCATAATTTCAATGGCAGGTCTTGAGTTCAACCAGCAGAACATTTCAATGTAGGCTATGTCTTGGGTTTTGTACATTTTGTGATAACAATTAGAGGTACAATTTATTCACATTACATGCAACATGTAAGAGAGGAACACATGTTCTTGTTAAGTTCACTTTAGCAAAACCTGGGGTTGAACTCAACCAGTGATATCAGTGTAAAAGATAACTTGTGCATTTTGTCTCCAGTAGGAATTTACATTAGGATAGCTAACTTAATGTAAAAATATACCATGAAGCCTTAGGTGACATCTATACTACAGACTTTTGTCAGCAAACAAACATTAGTCAGGGTATGATTGATATAAAACACACTGGCCTCTGAACAGAAGGATATATGCAGCTATCTGGGGATAGCTGGGTACAACTGATGGATATGATTGCACCTCACCACTAGACAGCAGGGAGTAAGTAATAAGTAACCTGTTGGCCTTGTGGAAATAAGTATCCCTAGATAAGCACAGACAGATGACACCTATGCCATTGTAACTGATTTGTTCCAGGTCAATTACATACCAGGTTGGGTGAAGTTAACCTGATATAAGGGTTTGCACCGTCTGACTATCATTTTTTACATATAGTCTGTCCAGGCCTGATGTGCAGCCACAATCTTAGCATTTTCAGGCTACATTTTATCCCAACTATGGTCCAATAAAATATATCACCCTACGAAATCCTTGCCCGCTCATTGTGTTCTAGCTTAGGTTTGTTTCTGACTTTAAATCCATATTAGCCACATTTATTCTAGAACACACACTTGCACTGGAATAACCAAAATTTATTATATTTAGCCCTGTCTACATGATACGCTGACTGTACAGTAGCTTATTACTACTGCACAGTAGTGTTGCATCATGCTTTCTGCTCCACGACACTACTGTGCGATAGTAATGAGTTACTGAGCGGTCAGCATCATGAAAAAGCAGTCATTTAGTACTTATTTATACAAGTATTAAATGACTGCACAGTAATGACTACGCAGTCAGCGTCTCATGTAGATGCGACCTTTAACACCATTTTCTCTCTTGGTGTATATATGTGTAGACGAGTTTTCATTGTAAGTTAGAGCAGAAGAGGAGCCACTGTCTGACGGGGACATACTAGGTCACAGATTCTGGACTTGAGACTTCACTTAAAAGGAAACAGGATAAAATCAGTGGTATACCACAAAATCCACACCTAACTGAACAGTATCTTAGATTAAATTGAAACAGAATTTAATATCTGGTTGATTCTTTCACCATTTATGCCACCTGCTTCTTTTGGCTCTGGTTCAAGAAAGCACTTAAGTTCTAGAGACCTGAAGTTAAGTGTGTGCTCAAGTAGAAAGCAGGATAGAGGTGAACCTTACAGACTAACTGAATCAGAGATGCATAAGCTTTAGTGAGCCACAGGTCATTTCATCAAATGCTCAAGTGCTGAGTCAAATAGAGGGGCTTTTTTGAATTGGGCCATAATCTGCTTCATGTGGCTTTGGAAATGAAATAAAGCTAGTTTCTGGTTTGCATGTATTAATAATTCATTTTTTATTTTCAGGAAAAATGTTTCAATAATGTGTTTTTAATTTTTTTAATCAAACATTCCTAATCACAGGGAGGTGCTTTATTTTTTATTTTTTAAAACTCTGCTCTAAATATGAGATTTATCTTCCTTATTTATAAAAAGTGGATAATGTTTTGAGTTCAAGAGGAAAAGCAGTAG